GATGGGGGGAGAAAGGAGGAGCCGATCACAACGATCAATATATAACCCCCTCCCAGGGGGACGAACAACAGAAAAGTGGATGAAGGGAGACAGCAGTTGGTGTAAGACATGAAAAAAATAATAATTTGTAAATTATTAAGGATTCATGAGGGAGGGAGGGGGAAGGGGGAAGATGAGCTGATACCAAGGACTCAAGTAGAAAGAAAATGTTTTGAAAACGATGATAGTAACATATGTACAAATGTGCTTGACACAATGGATGTATGCATAGATTGTGATAAGGGCTGTAAGAGCCCCCAATAAAAATTTTTTTTAAAAAAAAGAGCGGAACAGAGGATTTCAAAGAGAGGCTTGAGAATACAAAGCAAAGTTTGATAATGAAATGTGCAAAACCTGGAGCGAGAAAACCAAGAGGTAAGTACATACTTGGCATTTCTCAAGCTAAAAGAACTACAGAAAGATGCAAACCTCGAGCTGCAGCACAGAAGGGTTCTACGGGTAGAAAGTCGAATGATGCAGGAAGGATCAAAAGAAGATGAAAGAGATATGCAGATTCTATTAGTGGTGATCAAATGTGGCCCTCTCCTGTGCACATGTTGTTGGAGGTCTTCCCTTAGGATGACCAGGTGACAGCTGTGCATAACTAACACTGAGGTGCTACGGGAGCTGGAAGAGAATAGACTCATTACCAACATCAGTGGGTTTTCTTAGTTTGAAAAGAACTTTTATTCTTTTAATGAGCCCTGGTGGCACAGTGGGCTAAGTGACTACTAATGGAAAGTTGAGTCAAATCCAGAAGTTGTTGCACAGAAGGAAGAGAAAGCAATCTTCTTTTATAAAGATTTCACCACATGGAGTAGTTCTACTCTGTTCTAAAGGGTTTCTATGAGCGAGAATCAACTTGATGGCAGTGTGTTGGGTTTGGTCTATTATTTTGAGAACAGCTATATAATTTCTCTTTAAGTATAGGAAAATACCACATAATAACCAAAGATATAAGGGAAATTAGAGTCTACATAGAAAGGAAATTGGTTCAAGAGGAGGTCTCCTCGGAGCTCCGAGTGTGAAAGAGGTCAGAGGGCCTTGTCGAATTCACCTAAGACACAGTCTAGGAAAGAATGAAAGTTCTGTCGTTCATGCTGCCCAGAGAAAGCTGTTCCTCTGACAGGGTTTTGAATTTTGAAATGCTGTCCTCTTTTAAAAACACCTTTCTAGAAAGGCTCCGGGAGCCATTGTCTCAGGAATGGGACCAGGCTTTTGAGGCTACACTTAGAGCTAAGAGTCCTTTTGCCAAGGCAAGGGAATCATGGGACAGATGCTCGAACTTGGCTAATTTCTAACTCAAGCCATCTTAGACTTGCAATCCACACACTGATTTCGGGGGTTAAGGACAAGTGGTTAAGCTCGTGGCTGCTCATCAAAAATTCAGCAAGTCAAAGTCACCAGCCACACTGCAGTAAAATTATGTGGCAATCTACTCCTATAAATATTTATAGCCCTGGAGACCCTATGGACAGTTCTACGCTATCCTTTAGGGTCACTATAAATGACTATGTTGTAGGGGATTTTATTTTTTGCATGTTTGTTTTATTTTGGCAAGAGACAAGAAGAGGGGGGAAAGGTGTGAGTTATTTCCTACTTCTTTTCCCTTGAGGCCAATATTAAACAAATAATAGGTAAAAAAGAAAACAGAAACTCCAGGAGTGATTATGATAACAGAACTGAATTTAAAATATGCTGTAATTAATTCACAGAATCTGCCCACACATGTGACAGAATGAATTCATGCTTTACTTCTCACTGGGTTTTCACAAACTCCATCTCTTTTGCCACTCAAGTCAGGAGGCAAAGGGAATGACCATCACCTTTTCAGGGAGTGAAACTGAATAAACAAGCAAAACAAACAAACAAACCAAAAACCCCTTCATCATCAACAGGGGAAAAGATTATTTAAAGGCAGTAATGGGGATTAGAACCAGGTATTCTGACTACTAACGTCAAGCTCCTCTCAATGTACAATATCCCTACAACAATGGTTTCCAGTTTTGCGGGATGACTCTTAGAGCTCAAAAAACTTGCAACCCCTGTCCCAGAAATTATATCCATACCCACAATACATTTATTAATTTCAAGAAGTTGATGGAGCCTTCCTATCCCACCCAAAGCTCTCTGAACCCAAGTCAAAGCCTAGGCTGGTTCACTGTGGTGACTTGAGGTGCACTTCTGCTGTCATCTCTGACCCATCCTGTAATCACTGGTACACAGGCACTCTTTAAAGGAATACTGCCCACAGGCCAATGGTTGATTATTGTGGTCATCTGCACTTCCTTAAACTCCTCTTGTATACACAGAAAAGCAAACAAAACATTCTCCCGAGGCAACATAAAAGGTCTGATTTGCCCACAAAACTGCAAGAAAATGGAGAGCTTTAGCCCAACCACATACACACACAATCATAAGTGCCCTGAATGGGTCCTGAGTTGATAGACCCAGCTCTGTCAGCTACCATTTCCAAAGTGAAGTGGCGGTTTCAGGTTGCTTTTCTTGCTCATCTTAAAGACCTATAGACTAATTTTTATAACACATATAAATTACACAGTAATTCCCCTCAGTAGCAGCCGGTAACTCCCAACACTGATTAGTTTATAGCCCCCACACCAGAAGCAAGCACTCTAAAGGGCCCGACAGTCTCAAATACCGACTACCCTGAAGTCCATTCCAACTCTGAGTGACCCAATATGGAGCACTAAAACTGTCCTCGAAGTTTTCCTAGACTGTAATCTCTATGGGAGCAGACTACCAGGACTTTTCTCCCATGGAGGGGGTTGATGGGTTTAAACTAAAGTTAGCAGCTGAGAGTTTACTATTGTGTAACCAGGGTTCCTTTGGAACAATCACTTAATGGAAATGTATTGACAACAGAGGGCATAACATCCAATAATGTGCATTTTCATTGTCTTTATATTTTGTGTGTGTGTGTGTGTGAGAGAGAGAGAGAGAGAGAAGCATTAAGCCCTTTCTTCCTAAGTTCTATTCTCATACTACTAACACTCAAGTTTCAGAGACCGTTTCCAGGGGAAAACAGAAATCCAGGAAACAAATGAGACTTTCAAAATGACAAAGGGTAGTCCTTTGCTCCAGGATGTTTCCGGGGAACCTTTGAGAAACCCACACAAGATCTGGACATTTGAGAAGCTATGGGGCACCTTAACCATCTCTTTAGCCTCATCCAAGAGGTTAACTGGAGAGGATTCATCATGACCAGGGTGGTCCAGAGGGAGTCTGAGTCTCCTGTTATCCGTGCTGGAGCTCTTCCTTCTCGGTAGGCTGTACACTACCGGCTTTCATATAAAGACCAATCATTGTTCCCGGCAACTGAAGTATGGACATTTTACACTGAGGCAAATATAATGGTCAAAGTAAAAGCCAACTTCTCTTGTTCAATCTGTAATTTTCGAAGTCTTCATAATGTCACATCTCTTTTTATTCTTAAAATAATTTGACAAAGTCAGTGTATTTCTACTCCAGGTTGAGAAATATCTTTCTGCACATTTGTCTTTCCAATTAAATGTGAACTCGGGGTGCAAAAACCAAGAAAAACACTGTAAAACAGAGGAGTCACTCCTATGTTACACTTAATGTAAATAAGGAAAATTTAGTAAAGATTTGAAATTATGTGAAACTATAAATGTTAACTGCACCTGTTTACATCAAGTCTGACAGCGGAAGCAGGAAGGGGAGGAATTTATACCACCCTCTCCCACCAGCAACGCTATGAGTTACTTATCTGTCACCCAGTCTCGAAAGGTGGGAGTTATTACGAACCTCAAACCAACCAGCAGCATAGCTCACTGAATACACTGAACTGACTAAAGACCCATCATCTCTATCAGATAGTTTAGAATCAGGAATAAATTCTTAGCTTTCCAACACTGCTAATAAGATTATCGGGCAAAATCAAAACATTAGTTGAATCTAATTTCTGGTTAACTATGAAGCATCATCAAACGGTCTATGGTAAAGATGCTTTCACTTCCTCCTGACTCACAGTTATAATGCCCCTCAGATCTGACAACAAACTCCAAAGCAAAGAAAGCGCTTGCTGTGAGGAAAGTATGAGTTGAGAGGAAGGAAGGGGAGGAAAGCAGGGCTTGACTATGAAGCAAATACCAATTATCCTTCAACTGACTCTTGCATTTCTTTAAACCTCACAAATAAAACCAGCTCCTGCCAGGAAATGAAATTGCAGACTAACAAGATGCTCTCCAAATGCAGCAAGAGACCCGCGGATTACCCCACTGTGATGTTACTTCTGGGTTCAGGTGACACCCAGGTTGCTTCTCTATAGGAGGTCACATTCAGTTTGGACTTCTTCCTCTAGACCAGGGGTCCTCAAACTTTTTAAACAGGGGGCCAGGTCACTGTCCGTCAGACCCGTTGGAGGGCCAGACTATAGCTAAAAAAAAACAAAACTATGAACAAATTCCTATGCACACTGCACATATCTTATTTTGAAGTTTAAAAAAAAGGGGGGGTGGAGGGGGGTAAAAACACCCGGCAGCCCAGATAAATGTCCTCGGCGGGCCACATGTGGCCCGCGGGCTGTAGTTTGAGGACTGTGGGGAATGACGTAGATTTCAGGCAAGAAAAGGGCATACTTAGGTGCTATCTTGTAAAAAGCGAGTTCATTCCGATCGAGGGTGCAGGTGTAATGATGTGCATGGAGACCAGGATAAACGATAGTCAGAGCCTGGACTACCACAGTGGAAATGAAGAGGATGGAAGAAGGGATGCTTCAGATGCAGCCCCACCAGACCTGGTAATAGGTTCTCAGTGGGGAAGGAAAAGCAGGGCCTTTCGGCCCTGAATGAAAGGCTATAAAATGTAATTCCTTACAACTTATTCATATAAAAGAACTTACAAAACAAAAAAAAGAACTTACAATGAAGTAGAAAACTTATGGAGTCAATTGTAGTAGAACTGTCCCTCTACTTCCTTACCTTGGCAGCAGAGTTTGAAACGCCATGTGTAACATTTCTGATAAGGCCTCCAACATTTCCATACTTTATCAGTCCAGTAACCCCTTCTGAAACATCATTCAAGAGCCCCATGGGATTACCAAGAAAATCCACTGATCCCAAGATTCGAGCTGCTTGGCTGAGAAGTTCCTATCAAATGAAAGCAAGAGAGAAGAAGAAAATCAGCAACCGTTTGGATCTGCAGGCCAGACCCATGTAGAAGCATTGGCCATCAGTCTTCTCCTCCATTCTCAGCACCACTGACAATCACCTTTGAACACTTCCCCCAAACCAAACCCGCTGCCACCAAGTAAATGTTGACTCATAGTCACTACATAGTTTCCAAGGCTGCAGTCTTTACGGAGGCAGACCCGCCCCATCTTTCTCCTGAAGAGGAGCTAGTGTGTTCATTCCAACCTTCCAATGAGCAACTGAGTGCTTAAACACTGCACAACCAGGCTCCTTTGTAAAATCCTTACCAATTGCAAAATAATCTTCCCTTTGATAACCTTCCCCTAAACTCTCCAAGTACTCTCCAAAACCATTTATGATAAAAATGGCTAGGAAGCAAGGAATATTCTTGACAAACATTTACTAATTTACTAGTGCACACATATCTTCCTTTCCGTCCTTCCTCTAAATAGAGACATAACCAGTCGCAGATATAATTTAAAAAGAAGAGAGTGAGGTGGATTGGTAGCTCCCCCATCAGCTGTGGAGAAGGCAGACTTATCAAGCAATTCCAGAGATATCTGCTCTCTCACTCTCCTTGCAGTTAGGTGGGAACATCATCAGCTAAGGGTGAGAGAAAAGGAGGGGTAGGAAGGAGTAACAAGAGTAGCACTGACAGCTATGAAATTTCATAGCACTTTGAACTATCTATTCGTTGAAGATTACTATTCTGGTTTTTTGTACTTTGAATAACAAATACAGATGGGAGACTGCATAGTCTGAGACAAAAATTTTTTGAAGTTCAACTCCAGGGCAGAATCTCATAGGCTCTAAGAACACTGATGTGGTTGTTGAAAGTAGACCCATGCCTGGTAAATAAAAAGTTCACAGTATTTTGTGTTATCATTAAAGCATCAATTAAACCATTAACGGTTGTGACTAATCTGTGAATCAAGTTCTGAGGAATAAGACTAACAGCTCATAAGTCAAACACAGTTTCAGGGTTTTCATCATGTTTATGGGCTTCCTAGGATGTGACTTGACCCTAAGCTCAACAAACAGAGCTGAAATGTTTAACTGGGCTCGCAATTGCAATGTCTTAGTAATCAAAATTCTCAAATCACGACAACAGGCTCATTCTGTTTATGCTCCAGCCACGAAGTTTGTCGACAAAGCTCACCTCCTGGAAATGTTTGAGGATATCATTGATGATGAACTCCTTGGTCTCATAGGGATGCACCCGAGTAAATGGATCCAGATTTATCACAGCGTCTTCAAACCGAATCAATGGGAATCCTAAGGTGCTTTTGAGAGCCTAGTTAAGGAAGAAAAACGTGACATGTTTAGCCATATTGTGGCCTTCCTGGGCTAAAAGTGACATTAATTTGCCAACAAGAGTCAACGTTTTGATATTTATAAATAAGGATTGTGACTATAATTATAAAGGTTTTCTAAAAAAGAGATTAAAAATATATACCTATATCACCCAAAGTCGCTTCTATCACACAGAAATAAACACTGTTAGTTTCACAGCATAATTCCTCCTGGCTCACATTATATCTGCGTGCTTATTATATTTTATTTTTATGAAGTATACCACCTGCACAGAAAAGCATATGAATCAAATGTACAGTGTGACAATTTTTCCCCGAAGCACACATGACCATGTAACCACCCCCCTAGATCAGAAAAGACCACCTTGGGACAGTGCCCATTCTTGTTCCCATTGCCTACTCCCACTCACTACTGTTGTTAGGTGCTGCTGGGTAGGTTCTGACTCACAGTGCTCCTATGTACAACAGAATGGACACTGACGGTCCTGTGCCATCTAAACATCACTGTGTGGGAGTCTTCGGTTCCAGCGCCCAGGCACCATCTGCTCCCTTTTCCCTAAATAACTACCATCCCAACCATACATTGGCGTTCCTGGCTTTGATTTTTATAAAAATGAACTAATTCATGGGTCCTCTGTGCGTGTCACTTCTCAGAATCAACGTGAAGTTTGTGAGTCATTAAGTTCTTGCATATCAATATTTATCTAAACAACAACAACAAAAACCCCCACTGCCATTGGTGTCGATGTTGACTCACAGCGGCCCTAAAGGACAGGGCAGGCCTGTCCCTGATAGTTTCCAAGTCTATAACTCTTTATGGGGTAGAAAGCCCTGTCTCAGTAATTACCGTACCTTTAAAATAAGCATTGGAATCTGATAGAAGAAGCTCTCCAACTTTGCTCTTTTTCTTCAAAATCAGCTTGGCTATCCCATACTTTTAATCACCGTGTAAATTTTAGAATCAGTATGTCAGTTTAACACAAGAAGACCACACAATAGATCTGAAATATTGAACTAACCTTACATTCCTGGAATAAACCCAATTTGGGATTATAGTATCCTTCTTATACACTGTTGTATTTGATTTACTTGAAATTTTTCTTCATGAAGAAAAGGTCTACAATTTTCCTCTATTTTTTTATTACTTTTAAGCTGATGCCAGGGACTCAAGTAGAAAGAAAGTGTTTTGAAAAAGATGATGACAACATATGTACAGAAGTGTTTGACAAAATGGATATATGAATGGATTGTGATAAGAGCTGTAAGAGCCCCCAATAAAATAAAATTTAAATTAAAAAAAATACATGGTTTTATGGCAAATTTCTTGAATATGCTATATGAAGTTATTTTAAATCCTGATTCTGATAATGCCAACATCTGGATTACATATAGGTTTACCTCTAGTATCTATTTTTTCTCTTGGTCCTATCTCTCAGTCAGTCTGGTCATTTGTGACTGAATGAGACATTGTGCATGAAAAATTATAGAGACTTTCGATGAGCTTTTCATTTTGGGCAGGTAGTTAAAATAAGGGCACAATACCTTAAACCACTGAGGTTTGGGCTTTTTTCAAGACAAGGCTTCCATGTCTGTGTGACCTGGTCCAGTTGAGTCTTTGTCATGTCCAGTGTAGCCCATCAGTTGCCTCATGTGAAAACCAAAGCCATTCCCTCACTTTCATCCATAAAAGTGCTGTAAGTTCCCTTTGTCCCTTCAACGTCTTGTTATTCTTTGCTTAGCTTCTCTTACAATGGTTCCCTTCAAAACTGATAACATTCTGAAGAAAAAAAAGCAGCTCACACTATTGGGATCCCTGCTTTGCATAGCCTTTCTCAGTGAGATATTAGCCTCTCAAGTCTCAGCTCTCTTATTAGAATAGTCTAACTTTTGCTTAGCCAGTCCCCAAGAGACTGTCAAAAGCTTTACTTAGATTTTCTTTTTTGCATCTGCTTTTTGCCTGGCTTCTTTACCTTTCTCCCAAGCCCTTACAAATTAGAACTACTGTACCTCAAAATAAAAGCATAGGATAAAATGCTGGGCTTACCCTATCAAATGTCCCTCTTCTCATAAATCTTACCCACTTGAGTCCTAACTGCCTTGGTAATTTTTCAGTACCTTCTAGGAGATTGTTCTTTCTTCCCCCTATCTAGCTTTCCTTATCGTTCGTTCCCAACTCGTCTGTTTGAGACTGTCTGCATTGCTAGATATGGTTTATTTTCTGATTATGTTTTCATTTAACATGATTGAAGTTCAAGGTTTTTTAAAGAGCGTGCCAAATAGTCTTCCCTTTTAAATGTGAAGATACTTTTTCATTTTAAAATGTTAGTAAATCTCAGACATGGTCGGAGTTCATTCTTAAGTGGGGTAGGAAGAATGAATCTGATTTTATAATTTTCCATATGGCTATCTAGTTAGTCTAACAATATGCATCAAAAACGTCTATGTATTCTCCACTGAATTTCAACACCTTCATCATATATTAGAATTTTAGACACAATTAATATCATTCTATTCTGTCCTCATGTATTTAAAAAGAAATTGCAAGGATTTTCAGAGGCAACCTTAAATTATTTTGGAATAAGAGAATGCTTAATTAAAATGAAATCATAAACTAGAAGAAAACATAGATACAATTTTCTACAACCATAGAGTGAGGGAAACTATTCTGTGATTCCAACACAGACAAATGAGTAGCACATTTGACAATATAATAATAAGAGCCTTTCTATAACACATAAAAGCATACAAAAAGTAAAAATAATGGCAACTTATGGCAAAAGTAAACATATAAAGGGCTTCTAAAATGAGACAGGATCATAACATCAACAACCTGATAGAAAAGATATATTAATTCATATGACATTTAATTAAAATAATAGGATAATTAATTATTTTCAGAAGAAAATAGCATTATCCTTAAACCTATAAATTAGAGAAAGGAAAGGCAGAGTAAAAGAAGATAAAGAAGAAGCAAACAGAAAAAATGTGAACCAGGAAAGGCAAAAGTCAAGAATAGGGAAGCCAGAATATGGCAGAGGGCTCTAGATAATAGGAAAACTAGGCTTGGTGCTTTGGGAAGTCATGCTACTAACTAACTTCATAAGAAACCACATAAGAGATTGAAGAGCATATTCTGGTAAATACAACACTCATATTTTTAAAATAGTACATCATGAGAAATATTAAGAGGATGACCTAAGACCAACTAGCGAGTTATTAAGTAGTATAGTTAAGACTTGAACATGGTCGTTTTTGCATTATCAACTACTTACTAGTGAAAAGCATGCAAGCCAGAAGGACGGATTCTATTATTGCTCCTGAGACGCTTTCTGCTGGTCCTTCACACATGCCTCATCACAGCTCACGGTGACTGACAATGACGTGAGCAGGCTTTCTTTGCCCAACTTCAAGGTGGCCACGCTGCTTTGCCTGAACTTGGTCAATATGCTAGGAAACCTGAATACTGATACAACTCGGAGAATGATTTCTTCTCAAAGAAGAGGAAATGAGACCAAAACAAATGCTTGTGATAAAGAGTTTTGCCACAACTTCCTCAACGCTACCAAACACACACAGAGAGCCCCAGACTTTGAAACCCCTGCAAAGTCGTCAAGACCTTCAGGATTGGCACTTCCCCTTCGATGACCGACATGCTTGGTCTGACCCTAAAGTAGAAAGTCACTTTCCTTGCTCATTTACTGCTTGGTCCTCCTGGGATGGAAAGTGCTGAGATGCAGCACTGTTGGTGTGAATTATTCTGCCACCTTCAGGTCAAAGTGCAAGCTAGGAGGAGGAGAGCGCCAAAACGACTTCATCAAATACAGCAGTGTACAAAGTTGATGCCTATTTATTTAAGTAGCAGACCATTTCCTGTAATAAAATGGGTTCTGGAGAAAGCAAGGCTGTGTTCATGGGTTTCTAATAAAAATAGGAAGCTGTCTATTTCTACCTCCCCAGACAAAGGCTATTGGGGCTTTCTGCAAACAGAAGGTTGGAAGGAGGAATACCTGTTCAGTGCCATAAGGTCTCAGACCACAAGCTATGCCCTGGGCCGTGTCCTTTCCTCTCTCCGTTTATCTTGCGTTAAACAAAACTGTCTGGAATTCACTCTTTAAGGGTTTATTTAGGGTACATAGTGACTGTTTAGTGAAGCAGGCTATTTGCCCATTTCCCTCTCGGGACAGTGTTTAAAACTACAAGGATATTTCCCTCTCTAGCACTTTCTGAAATACAATTAACAATACTGGACCTTTTTTCCTTTTAACAAATCTGGTTTTTATTTAGGGAGGGGAGGAAAAAAGTAAAGGGTCTGAAGTTTCCCAACAAATTATTTCAAGCCTTTCAGAAGACAGTTTTAGGCTTTTTAAATAGTGTCTTTGTTTGAAACTCCCCCTCCACCCCCACCCTCGCTCTAGTTCTCCTTCTGACCATTACAATGTGGGTTTTCTTCCAAACTAGCCCTTCTTTTGTAATCCCCGATGCCCTAAGTGGGAAAGCACTGCTGCAGGCCACCTTGCAAAACCTTTTTAGGACTCCTGGTTTCTTCGGTCTTAAAAAAAAAAACACAAACTACCTAACATTTTTTATGTCACTGTGCAAACTAACATATAAACTTGGGAGAATAATGAAGAAGATGGGGACCAGGTGAGGCTGTACTTTGGTCTCTGCTTTTGCAAAATGGAACCAGCAACTCCTGCTTCGCCCATCCCCGAGTAAGGAATTCAATGGAGAGAGGTGTGAAGATACTCTGATTCCTCCTAGACTGACACTGAGTATATGGGCACAATGTACTCTTTGGGGCTTTTTCAGCCTCACTCTGGCCAGCAGTCAAGAAAGTCCAGGTTAATTATTCCTTCAGTCCCCAAAACATCCTGGTCCCTTGGGTCATAACCTGGTGACTTCGTTCAGGGAGAAGATCTAGTTCCGAAGCACATACTTGTAGCGATAACATATGTACCGAAAAGAGTATACTGTCCCTCCTAAGAAAAGGGGATCACTGCTAGCAAACTCTGAATAGAGGCCGTTTTCTTATGAGTCCCGGGCTCCAATAGGAGTAGTTGAGACACAGTAAAATGGTAGCTTTCATAGGCTGAGAATTAACTCTGAAATCCTTCTTCTCAGTGCCCTTCCTGAAACCTTGACTCACTGTGATCACTGGGCATGACCCCCACCCCTGGGCCACGTACATACACCTCGGAACAGGGCTGCTCCACTTAAGTTGTTTAACAATCATTTTTATAATGCCTTGCAAATGTACAGTGCAGATGAAACAATCAACTTAAATAATCTCCAGTTGACTATATACGGAGCACACACTCACGCATCCATACCACAGAACCCAGGGCTCCAAGCTGCTTTACCTACAGAAAATCATACTGTTTATGGATCTGGGGAAAAGTTTTCGGCTGGGAACAAACAGAATAGAATAGCTAGGTGTCTGTGTTTTTCAGTAAGATGATTTAAAAGAAAGAAAAGTCTCTGCTCTCAGGAAATGCTTAACATTGGTTTGCTGGGTGAGGGCCAAGTGATCTGGGAGAAATCTACTTTATCAAACAAGCCCATTCCAGAAGGTCAGCAGAGTCAAGTGGCTACTTGGGGATATTAGGAAGATGGTGGTTTTCCCATGGTTTTCCCCCACTCCCCTGCTAATTATAAGTATCTTCAGTCTCCTGGGAAACATGAAATTAAAGCAAATTAAGCAGCCAGCCAGTGGTGAATGGGGCAGGGCCCCCAGTAACTGCTCTCAGGAGGTCGCCTGTGGGGTGGGGGTGGGGGAATCACTCCTCCCCTGGTCCTGGCCAGCACACCCCAGAGCCGTGGGGCCGACCACTACCTCCCCTTCTCTTGTACTCCCCCATGTGATCACAGGTTGACCAAATTGCTGTCTCATTACTTAAAAGTCTATTTTAGAAGTTGGCAGAGTCTGGGCCATGAGGTCCACACATGGGTTTAGTTAGGGCCCCAAGGTTTAAAACAAACAACGCCAAAAAAAAAAAAAAGAAACCCAGAATGCATCGCCAACATTTGAAAACCAGGAGATTCCACATTAAAATCCAGATTTCCGGCTTCTCTTTTTTTTTTTTTTTTAAAAAAAAGGCCATTCTGGTAGCCCTGGCTTCCCCCATGACAGTAGGGGCTGCAGCTGAGCAGTGGCTGTCCTCTACAGATGAAGCACGTGTGCACAGTGCATCCTGCCCCCACCACAGTGCTTCACTGTCTCCTTACTGGCACCCGGAGTTACAGCTCCAGGTCTATCAGTTACTTGCACCATCTCTCTGCTCTGTTCTTGCTCTGAAAGACCATTTGGGAAACAGTGGGGAGGTGAGGAAAGAACCATAACGAGTGGGCCCAAGCTTTGGGCAGGGAGGGGAGGCAGACTTCCTACAATCACCTGGATTCCACCCGTGTTCCTCTCACTACCAGACTACAAAAGCTTGAGTAGCAAAACATTTTGAACCCCAGTTTTCCTGCTCATCAAACAAGGGGATTGTGAAAGATTCCTGTGGCTCAAAAATTCTGATTCTTTATACTCAGGCTGGCAGGAGACTCTAGTGAAAAAATAGAGACTATAAAGTTAGGCAGACTTGGATTTGCATGCCAGGCTCCTGCCTTACTTAAAGCAGATTTTACTGCTGAAAATTGGTGCTGATGCTTAGGATGCATCTGTCAAGCACACAACAGTGGATGGTGGATGTTCTTATTCCATCCTGAGGAAGTGATCCACAAGGACACACCCAATGAGTATGTAGCTGAGATGTTCCAAGTGTCCACCAGTCAAGGAGAGAGGAACAAAAAGCTAGGAGGGCAGCCAGGCAGGTTTGGGCACAATATATGAAGTTGTCTTGCTTTAGTTTTTCTCTTCTAGCTGAGGGCACACCTAGGAAAGCAGGCTTTTCCCCTGTGAAATAAGCCAGGAGAAGATGGGCTGTCTGCCCTTTGCTGCGTTTACTCTCTCCTGTGAGTCCTCAATCTGTAGCAAAGTCATATTTAAGGATTATAAAGAAAAAGAAATATAGGTAAACAAGTGGCCATCTAGCTCAGAAGCAACAAAGCCCACATGGAAGAAGCACACCAGCCTGTGTGATCACAACGTGCCGAAGGGATCAATTATCAGGCATTAAAGAACAAAAAAATCATATCATTGTGTGCTCACCTCCCCGATACGATCAATGAAGACAAATGGGTGCATAAGCAAATGTGGTGAAGAAAGCTGATGGTGTCCAGCTATCAAAAAATACAGCATGTGGGGTCTTAAAGGCTTGAAGGTAAACAAGTGGCCGTCTAGTTCAGAAGCAACAAATCCCACATGGAAGAAGCACACCAGCCTGTGTGATCACAAGGTGTCGAAAGGATCAGGTATCCAGCATCAAAGAGCAAAAAAATCATATCATTGTGAATGAGGGGGAGTGCAGAGTGGGGACCGAAAAGCCCATCTGTAGGCAACTGGACATCCCTTTACAGAAGGGTCGTGGGGAGGAGACAAGCCAGTCAGGGTGCAGTGTAGCAATGATGAAACATACAACTTTCCTCTAGTTCCTAAATGCTCTCCCCCTATCATGATCCTAAATCTACATTACAAATCTGGCTAGACCAGAGGATGTGCACTGGCACAGATAGGAACTGGAAACACAGGGAATCAGGATGGATGATCCCTCCAGGAGCAGTGGTGAGAGTGGCGATACTGGGAGCATAGAGAGAGGGTGGGTTGGAAAGGGGGAACCCATTACAGAGTCTACATATTACCTCCTCCCTGGGGGACAGACAACCGAAGAGTGGGTGAAGGGAGACGTTGGACAGTGTAAGATATGACAAAATAAAAATTTATAAATTATCAAGGGTTCATGAGGGAGAGGGGAGCGAATGGGGGGAAATGAGGAGCTGATGCCAGGGGCTTAAGTGGAGAGCAAATGTTTTGAGAGTGATGAGGGCAACGAATGTACAAATGTGCTTTACACAATTGATGTATGTGTGGATTGTGCTAAGAGTTGTATGAGCCCCCAATAAAATGATTTTTAAAAGAAAAAGAAATATAAAGGAGTCAATAAAACCTGCCTGACTCACAGCAACACTATAGGACAGAGTAGAACACTATAAGACAGCAACACTATAGGACGAAGGTTTGTCAGGAGCCAAGTCTTTACTGGAGCAACTTCATGTTTCTTCACAGGTGCTGCTGCTGGGTTCAAACCATCGATCTATCAATTAGCTGGCAAGTGCTTCACCAAGGCACCACCAAGGCTCCTTTATAAGTCAACAAACCTTCTGAAAAAGCAAGCCCAGGAACACACCATCTACAAATGACAATACTGGGCAGACGAGGCAAAGCGGCTTTGACATCCCAGGGCTCAGCTCACCTTGAGGTCCAAGGGCAGCTTGTTGGAGGTGAACACACTCAGCTTGATCTGGGGGATGTTGATTTTGAGATTTTCAAAGTAGTAGCGGATTGGTGTTCCACCTTGTTCAACTGTCTTCTCACGGAGGGTCTCGTCATACTTTTCTACCTCTGGTACAAAGACAGAAGTCTTAAAAACACGAATCTGCCGACGTTCATGATTCAGATACTTACATTCACACTGAAAAACTTCCTTGGGAAAAACAAAACAAACTTCCAGCTCTCTAAATTTAGTTTTCAAGGGCTCAGTTATGTGTACATATCCAGCTGTCATTTCTTTGCAAAAGCAGATCTGTTTCATGTTGTTTACCAAAAGGGTAGACTAGCTTACTCTTTTAACTTATGACTCAGTATCATCTGGCAGATCTCAGCTTTGGGAAAAATAATCCAGGTGGGGAGGTCAAAGGTCATGGTGTATTGCTGGCAGTGGGCTTTCTAGAAACCATTATTATGATTACTACCAGTGACCCAGATCATCTACTTCATGAGATAATATCCAAATAGGGATGTGGAGTGTAGCCTAACCAAATCGCAGCGAACAATATCACCAATGAAATAATAAATGCAAATGAAACATAACGTCTAAAAAGAGACAGGCTACCGATTCATAAAATGACTCCCTCCTCCAGGTAGACGTCATTTAAGTGGGATAGTCACAGCAGATTTTTTAATTGTTGTCCCCTGCAGTAAAAAGGATTAACACAGGCGAACACACAGCAATGTGCTCTTTATACAGGTGGTTCCCGATGTTTGATGTGGTTCCAGGCCAATGGCCCCATTGGAAGTCGATTCTGATGGTAAGCCTTTTTTTTTTTTACGTTTTCATTATTATTGCCTTTATTGTGAATATCATTAGAAATCTAATCTTTGAACATTAATGATCATGCACTCCAAAACTGTATGGCATATCTATTACTAACAATAAGATATACCCAAAAGGGAGGGATGGGTTTCATATGTGCAGTGCATTATAATTCAAATACAGTGCAAGGCTGAGACTCCAAAGCTTGATGACAGGCACCCTGCAGGGGAAGTTGGCTTTCTGTGCCTCAGAAATAAAACCAGAGAAACTATACATCCCTCGGTCTCAAACAAATTTATGCTGCACATTACTTGCATGGTGGAGGAGGTTTGGGGGGACTAAAATCCAGAGTCATCAAGTCGATTCCAACTTATAGTGACTCTAAAGGACAGGGTACAACTGGCCCGTGGGGCTCCAAGGCTGTAATCTTTACAGCAGCAGAGTGCCTCGTCTTTCTTTCTCCTCAGAGCCGATGGTGAGTTCAACCTGTTGGCCTGTCAGTTAACAACCGAGCACTTTAACCACTGTGCCACCAGGGCTCCTGAGAGGGGGAATAGATTAAAAGAAGAAAAATGCAACAGAGACCTGCCTGTCTGTGTACAGTGAATAGAAACAGCCATGGGAAGGAGAGGAGATGCTCTAATAAATAGGTAAAGGTAACACAAAAGTCTAAATTCACTATATACTGCCCCTTATGCATGGGGACAAATCTGCGTAAAGCAACGATAATAAAAGCCTGTGCAAGCAAATTGAGAACAAAAGTGCCCAGGAAGGTACCCAAACAGAACAGGTAATGAGGAGGTAGGTCTAACTGGTTCTCTGACTACAAACAAACACTGGCGTTCCCATTCCAAGTGGAAAATGCCATATTAAATAGGCAGGCATCTTGTTCTTGATCCCAATTTATACTTACAAGCTTCTATTCTAAGTCTGGAATAAATGAAAAGAGACACAACGTTTTCCTTGCACTGTGTGAATGTACATACGCAGGAGTATGTTCACATATTTCCTCTAGCCACCATGGGCAGATAAACATAAAATGCCTGTCTTATCATTTCTCCAGGCTCCATATTTAGCTTCACCTTCAAATAGCTAAGCATCACTGGCTTCTTTCTAAGCTGAGCATATACAGTCCTACTCAATCTCAAAGCAGAAGAAAAGGCGGTTGAAAATAAAGAGGTAACAGTTCGAGCATTTCTGGCGAAGCTGGAAATCTGGGTTGTCGAGGAGCGTCCCTTACTCTCCTTCCAGTAACCGGAGTGAAGTAACAAGAAGCTCTGTAAGTACATCACAGCATAAGGGTACAGAAGTCAAAAGTTAAGAAGGTGATGCTAACCAATTTCTTTTCTCAACTAAATCAAAGGAATTTCTGATGCCTGCTCTGTTTAATAAAGATTAGGAAGCATAGTCCTTTGCTAAGTGACTAGCATTACTGCTGTTACTAGCATTACTGCTGGAGATGAATTAAAATAAAAACAACAACAACAACAATAAGAAGCAAAGAGAAATGGTACATTGTTTCCCAAAGACTTACCACAGTGGTTTCTCAACCTTCCTAATACCCCAACCCTTTAATGCATTTCCTCGTGTTATGGTGACTCCTACCCCCACCCCAACCATATAATTATTTCCGTTGCTAGTTCATAACTGTAATTTTGCTACTGTTATGAATTTGGGGACCTCTGTGAAAGGGTCATTCGACACCCCCCCCAAAGGGGTCACGACCCACAGGTTGAGAACCGCTGGATTTGCCAAGATACTCTGATTGGCTGCCACGGTACACGGGTCTAACTCAGACAACAAGCAATACTGAGACAAAGGAAAGTGGGAATGCAAACCTTAGCTTGTGCTGAGAAGTGGAAAGCAAGCCTGTCAAGCATCCAAAAGCCATCATTGGGCCAATTCCCCGATATGAACACAGAACAGTCCACATTACCTGATTCTGCTTGATCATAGCCGAAGAAACTTAGTAGCTTAAGGAGCAGTTTCTCCTCAATTTGCACAGTGAACCTCTGGGCTGTGATCATCAAATGCTAGAAATAAACAAATTCAGATGAACAACAGAAGGAATTTGCATCTGGGCCGTTTCAAAGGCTCCAATGACATAATATGGTTTCATGACTCACATTGTTTCATAGTCAGAGACATATTAGAAGTGATTTCTGGTTCATATATCTCTCATTAACCAAGAACGTCAGATGCTTAGTAGGTCACTCACCATCCTATCATCTAATCTAAGGGTATCTGTGTCTTGTTAGCGGGGCCCACAGTCTCAGATGCACTGTGTTGGGGGAGCTTGACACTCCCTTGGCAGCCACTGGTTGAAGGAATAGCCTGAGACTTGTAGATTTGGGGGCTGCTTGTGGGCTTGATTTCATCAGGACTAGTGACAAAAAAATAAGCAATATGTAAGCCACTTCTTAGGTTGGCTCCCACTTCGTTCCAAGTTAGCTGCTAAAATAACTGGCCTACACATGGAGGCATCTCTAGGAAAGAGTTTATCGCTTGAATTATCTACTTTTAGTAAACAACACGTCAGCTTACACAGCAGGATCTCTGTCCTCAGGTCACAACCCTCCTATCACTTTTCCAATAATCTCTGGCTTATTTGATTTTACGCAACACGTCCAGAGTGTGCTTAGTCCTAATCCATCTGTGAAATCAAGAAAATAAAGTGCTAAGATAAGGAGTTCTTTCCAATCTCCTTTCCCAATTCAGAAAGTCATACGTGGCTTAGCCCTCAGCACCCTGTACTGCCTCTCTGTGAGAGACCCAAATCCCCTCTGGCATGGTACCAGCCCCTCCAGCCCGCCACAGACTACCTTGTAGATGTTGGTCAGCGTGCTCTTACTGGGGAACTTCACAGCGTTGACCTGCACCGCGGGGCCTGTCTCAATGACTTCGTTCTCGTTGCTCAGGGGTGTCACGTAGAGCGTGAAGGGCTGAGTAGTACCAATGAGCTGATTGTCCACCTAGTATATGCAAAAGGCACAAACAGAACTGACAAGTCACTCAATTTTCATGGTTAGCTTTTAGTGGAGCCTTATAATACACAAGCCACTCAGAAAGTACCCTTGCCCCTTTATTCTATTTCAACAGCAGCTGGGAAAAAGATTCTTAACAAAGACCAGTAATCATAATAAGTAGCAGTAACAACAACCCACCACTCATCTGTCCATTTGTGGCTTGCATATTGCTGAGATGTTAGAAGCTATCTCACCAGTATTTCAAATACCAACAGAGTCACGCAATGGTTGATACGTTTCAGTGCCACTTCCAGACTAAGAACAGACTGGAAAGAAAGAACAACGCGTCCACTTCTGAAGGGCCAGTCACTGAAAACCTTATGAAGAGCAACAGAACAGTGTCAAGTACCATGTCAAAGATGAGCCCCTCAGATTGGAAGGCACTCAAAATACAACCAGGGAAGAGCTGCCCCCTCAAAGTAGAGTCATCAACGTAACTTATGTAGATGGAGTAAGGCTTTTGGGAGCTACAACTGCTGATAGGGCATGAGAGGAAACACTGCAGGCACCCATTAACAAATGGAACAAGGAATGTGCAAAGTATCAGGTTGGAAGACACCAAAACGAAACGGAACACAAAAGAATCAATATCCTAGGCAGTGATTAGTTGAAACGAACTAGTATTGCCCATTGTAAGTCCAACAATCAATGGGTTTACTACACCAGGAATAACACCCCAAGAGGAATGGCATCATGTGAAAGTCGGACTTGTGAATAAAGAAGACCACAGAAGAACTGGCAGTTACATGATGGTGTTGGCAAAAAATAGTGAAAATACCAAAGACTTCCAGAAGAACAAACAAGGCTGTCTTGGAATAAGTACAGCCAGAATACTTCTTAGAAGTGTCGATGGCGAGACTGTATCTTATATACTTTGGATATGTTTATCAGGAGATAAATCCCTAGAAAAGGACATCCTGTTTAGTAAAGGGTCAGCAAAACAGAGGAAGACCCTCGATAAGACCGACTGAAACAGCTGCTATCACAATGGGCTCAAGCATAACAATGGTGAGGATTGTGCAGGACCAGGAAGTATTCCATCCTATGGTAACATAGGGTCCCTGAGTCACAACCAACTTGACAGCACCTCACAGTACAACAAGTAATGTAGCAGTAGAAGGTATACTTCATTAAGTACCATAGGCCAAACATGGCAGTTAGCTCATCTGTGTCACATCAAGTCCCTGGAAACCTGGACTATTAAACCAAGGGCTTCACTGTAGTCCTTTCCACAACCTCCTGCGTACTCTCACAGCGCTTATTTAAAGCAGCAGCAGCTAAGGAGAGAGAGAACTTTGCTTAAGGCCATAGCCAACTTGAATCCAGAACCCAAGGCCACTCTATCAGTGCTTCCTTCTTGCTCCAAAGTCCTTCAAGTAAGATGACTAAAATTAGAGATTCAGTAGCTCAGATGGCTACCGAATGGAAGCAATTCTCTGTCCTAAAATCAACTCCCCTCTCAGGAATGAAACGATTAAGTCCACGGCATGAGAGATTGCTCTATTCACCCAGCCCCAAGAAGCACCATAAAAGTACACTCTCGGCCCACAAGTGCTTGTGATCGTCAAAAGTTTACTCCAACTTTCTCTTTAACTGAAGGTCCACACCAGGGAGAGGAAATGAAATATTCTACAGTATCTGTTGGGTGCCCCTCAGCATGCTTTCTTCATACCATCACACATACATATCACTTACTACAACTCTGAATGGTATTATTGCTCCTCATTTTACTAACAAGTAAACAGAAGCTTAATTAAAGAAAAGTAAAAAGCTAAAGAAACCAATAAAGAGAAAAGTGGGTCCTTGGGTATTCTCTATAAAGGTCAAATAAGACAGATAGAGAAACAGAAAGGGTAAGCTTTTGACTTTCTAGCCTGAACGCTATGCTATCTGGGATGCATGATAAAAGAAAATGTACCTATGAATTATAATAAGAGCCCCCAATAAAATGATAAAAAAAATGAGAGTGAGGAGCACAAAATTCCTTCACGAGCAGGTCATGATTGAAAAAGTGGTAGTTGAACCTATTAGTTAAACCTAAGAGTGATAGTTGAATCTGTTGTTTTCAGGCTTAGGCTATCAACACAAAGCAAGTTTTAGAAGATGTAGCGATCTGCACAAGAAGATAATACAGCTTCCTAAAATCTCCTTTATTCTCTAAATTCACTTAATAGAATTAAGTTGTATAAGGCAAACTGGAAGCCTCTGTAGGGGTTTTACAGCCTATCACAGATCCTGAGCTAGTAAACGCTAACAGGTTGAGATTTGTAGCATCAGGAGAGAAAGTAATCGGAACAGCCAGTTCCTCCCCATGTGTACAAAGGCAGTCTAAAGAGAGCCTTTCATAAAGGAGTAAGATGCAAGTAAAATTTGCCTAGGGGAAAAAACATCAAGAAAGAAAACACATTCTGAACAGGGCTGTCGGCTCTGACAATCTGGATGGAAGTGCACAGTATGCAGTCCTGCGGTCACATCGCACTTCCTCGGCAGTGATACAGACTGTCCACTCAGTAAAGAACCAGTCAGCGATGTAGCAACGATGACAAATACAACTTTCCTCTAGTTCCTAAATGTTTCCTCCCCACTCCCACTACCATGACTCAAATCCGACCTTGCAGGTCTGGCTAGACCAGAGGATGTACACTGGTACAGATAGGAACTGAAAATCCAGGGAATCCAGGGAGGATGAGCCCTACAGGACCAGTGGTGTGAGTGGCGAAACAGGGAGGGTAGAGGGAGAATGGGTAGGAAAGAGGAAGCGATTACAAGGAACTATATGTGACCTCCTCCCTAGGGGACGGACAACCGAAAAGTGGGTGAAGGGAGACGTTGGACAGGGCAAGATATGACAAAATACCAATTTATAAACTATCAAGGGCTCATGAGGGAGGGGGGAGCAGGGAGGGAGGGGAAAAATGAGGACCTAGTGTCGGGGGTTTGAGTGGAGAGAAAATGTTTTGAGAATGATGTACAAATGCACTTTACACAATTGATGTGTGTATGGACTGCGATAACAGTTGTATGAGCCCCTAATAAAATGTTTAAAAAAAAAAAAAGAACCAGTCAGGACCCACGGAGTCCTCCTTTTGAAATGTTTCCCAGCCACTGGTTCTCGGGACCCATTCCGATCAGGGTAGAGATTCTATGAAGAGAAGGACTTCACCTAGGATGTTATCTGGGTTTTGAACCGATTCATTCCAGCTTGCACTCCTGTAGAGAACTTGTATTTCCACCCTAGGTATACTTCCAACGCAAAACCACTCTCATTGAGTTGATTTGAGCTCATGGCAACCCTGTAGGCCAGAGTCCAGCCATCAGGTTTCCAACGCAGCAAATCTGTGTGGAAGAAGACTGCTACATCTCTCTTCCGCAGAGCGGCTGGTGGGTCTGAACCAGTGACCTTTCTGTTAGTAGTTACATGCTTAATTACCATGTGACCAGGATTCCTACATTGGAATAAGATCACCCAGGGATCTATAAGAATCTATACTAGACAATCTTCCATTGATTAACAGCGTGCTTGTGTGTGTTTGTTTTAGAAGCAGAGCACCTAGTCTGGAGAAACTAGAGGCCTCACCTCTTGGTTTCCACCCCTCAGCGATCCTATCCTTGGTTGCCTGTTGGGACCACTGTCTTATGTATTTCATCGGGATTTGAGGGCTGTTTCAGGTTCAGAGAGTAAATGTGGTCTCTGTTACTTTTTCTTGGCCCACAGGAGAGGTCCAGTACCTTTTCCCCCTCTTTCAATTCCTCCCACTGATAGCTAGGCAATTTCTAGGGATTTTATTGTCGCTTTGTTGCCAAGATTCAGAACCATGAATCACCTTCCTTTCAGAGTTGTGATATACAGAACACTTAGGGAGACAACCCTAGAAACATCCATCTCACACAATGAGTCTTCTGAAGGCCACAATAAGGAATTTTCTGTGAAGCATTAAAGTTTTTAGAACATAAAACATGGGGATCTGGTTGGGTATGTAGCATGAAAAGATGGAGGTTATGCTTTCTGAAAATGGACCCCTCACCTGTACATCCTGGATGCTGAGTTCAAGCATGTGACTAGTTGCCAGCTGTGTATAGTGCACATTGATTCCTGTAAGCGTTGCAAAGACCAGTTCTTCTGGGACTTTATTAATTAAGGACAACCCAATTCCACCTTCTAACTTCACAAGCACCTGAAGAGAAACCAAAATACGCACACTGACTACTGTTTACAACAGAGCTCAAGGTAGCCTGTAAGTACAAGGAAAGAAATGGCTTTAAATCCCTCTGCCTCAGCAGATGAACATCACATAGGTGGGGCCTACTATTCACCTTGTTAGCTCAAAAACCATCATCTCACTAGATACTCCCTCTAGGCTCACTCCCCAACTCAATCAGAACTCCTGGTAACTGATGTTACCTCAGTCTGAGCACTCATGACACTCTGCATTCTACTGTAAGAATGTAATTATTCAAGAATTTCCCTCCCTGTTATTCATTGAATTCCCATAACATCCACCACAGTGCTTGTCACATAGGCACTTGACTTTTAAAAGAAAACCCATGTCTTATTCTCTTCCTTAAATTCTGCTCTAAATGCCATATCATTTGGCTTCTTTTATTGTGATCTTATTTTAACAACATTTATTATACTCTGTTCCACATAAACTTTAGCTATCTTTAACATATTACATATTAAGTCTGTCAAATATTAAACAATGCCAAACAACATCTACCCTGAAGAATTCATAAAGGACAGAAAGGAGAGAGTAGGTCAAAATGGAGAAAATCCCAGACCAAGATTTTATCTAAACAAATGGATGATCAAAGAAATGTAGACCATTTAAAACTTACTTCTAATTCCTGTTCTGTATCTGGATTCCTTAATTTCTGCAGCTCTTGCTCAGTAACAGGAAGTTCATCCACTTCATATGATGAATGGTCACTTTTCCGTTGGCTGAAATCTGTTACCTAAAGTCAAATAAAACAGTCCTAAGAGGGTCCATTCTTCAGTAGTGAAAGCCTATGGAAGTTACTGGTTTCTAAAGCACTGCTAAAGTAAGATTTTTTTTTAATAATGACGCAAACTTGGTGTTAAATCTACGCAGCAAAGTTAAGATGTAGACACATGAAAACCTCATCTAGAGGGGTTAGGCATTTATCTGTAGGTGATCGAAAAGTACAGCTCTAGTCAAACAAACCAAACAAGTTCACTGCCACTGACTCAATGCCTACTGTTAACTGCCCCTGTGAGTTTCTGAAACTGTAACTGTTTACGGGGGTAGGTTCTAGTCAGAAAATGCAAACATCAAAGACACCTGATTCAATGTCCTCTCCAAAACTAGTTTGTAAAGAGGTGCTGTAGTTTATAATGAACTGTCTCAGAGTTTCTCTCTTGTCCTTAGTTGTCTAAAAACAAAATGTCTTGAAAAATCTTATCACTAGTACAGGAGAGAGATGCCCCCCACCCCCGACCCCCCAAGCACCAGAATCATGCTATGTTAGACAGGGTTCTCTAGAGAGATAAAACCAAATTGCTGATAATT